ACTGAGGATTAAGCCCACAGCCCAGGCATGTGTCCTTGTCTAGAACTGAACTTGGGACCCTTCCATCCACAGGCTGATGCTCTCTCCACTGAGCGAAACCATCTGGGGCTACAGCTTGGTCTTGAGAGACCCAGATGCTGCAAGCAGAAAGGACCCCACATTTAGGGAATGGCATCATGTCAACATGAAGGGCAACATCAGCAGTGGCACTGTCTTTCTGAACTTGGGACCCTTCCATCTGAACTTGGGACCCTTCCAATTTCTTTTTTTTTTTTTTTTTTTTTTGTCCACACAATGTTTATATTTTTATTCAACTGTAATTAAACAGCAAAATTAACCCTACCAAGCCACTGTACCAATTTTTCGGTAATTTCTGAATCTGCCGCTATACCACTGTACCTAATTTTCAGTACTTTGCCTAGTACGTGAAAAAAAATGCGTCATAAACTAAAAATAACCAACCAATCATGGTTAGCCATTGCAAATGTCTGCACCCATGTGTTTGAATTGACTTTGTGTGGTTTGACATGAAAAAATTCTGAAAATTCACAATGAAACGAGCGGCTGATGAACCAAGCACTTCAACAGGAAAGCAAAGTAGGTCTAAGCTTATCACAGTCCAACAGGTGATCGATGCTTTGAATGATTCAGACTCTGAGGAGTTACGTTTCCAGTTCAAGTGACACAGACAGCGAGAGCTTGAGTGATGAGGAGAATCTTGAACCTTATAGATCTAGAGCTAAATCAATAGTAAGAGAAGGGGGGGGTGTCCCTCAAACAGCTGATTGGGGAGATCTAAGTGGTGAAGGTTGGACAAGGAATTTTGTATCACCAAATACAGATCTGACTTTCAGTGAGGATGGAAAAGGTCCAGTGAACATTCCTGGATCTATCAGAGGAGAGTGAACCAATTGACTTTTTATCCTTGTTTTTGGATGATACTTTCTGGCAAAATTTGACAGAGAAAACCAACCTCCAGGCCCACCAATTGCATACAGCAAAGCCCAACTCCTACAATTTCAGGGTACCTCTCGCCCAGTCCTGCAGCTCAACAGCAAAAGGACTCTGCAGGTTTCCTGTACTGCTCTTCAGATGATACACCTTTAAATTCTGGGTTCTTATTCTTTTTTTTTTTTAATATATTTTATTGATTTTTTTACAGAGAGGAAGGGAGAGGGATAGAGAGTTAGAAACATCAATAAGAGAGATACATCAATCAGCTGCCTCCAGCACACCCCCTACTGGGGATGTGCCCGCAACCAAGGTACATACCTTTGACCAGTTTCAAACCTGGGACCCTTGAGTCCACAGACCGACGCTCTATCCACTGAGCCAAACTGGTCAGGGCTGGGTTATTATTCTTATATTAACAATCTGATAACCATATCCCAATACCAAAATAGGCTCCCCAAATTGGAGTTCAAATTTGATCAAAGAATAAATCTAGATGTGTGACTCTGTATAAGGATAAAGGACAGGTAGAAGGAAAAGTCACCTCACAGCTCTGTCTGCTCAGGTCTCGCCTGTGAAAGTGGGAACAGGAAAGAGGAGAAATCAACATGCATCACTGAACTTGAGAACACTGCTTGGGGCCTGGGCCATGTGTCTCCTGGCTTTCCCTGCTTCCTAGCCAGCAGCTCAGAGCATGGGCACATAGTCATCCCATTCCGCCTGTAACACCTGCCGGCCACTGGGGGCCCGAGCCCATAGTTTTTGCAGAAAGATGCCGCCTTGAAATGGTCTCCAGATCGTTTGCTGAGAATGAGCTCGTCACACTTCAGCAGATTGGCCTGCTCGTCAACCAGCCAGATACAGCGGTGAAGGCTGTGCCCTTAGGAGGCCCAGAGCCCACATAATCAGAAAGACAGGTCACTGCTGATGTTGCCCTTCATGTTGACATGATGCCATTCCCTAAATGTGGGGTCCTTTCTGCTTGCAGCATCTGGGTCTCTCAAGACCAAGCTGTAGCCCCAGCTGGTTTCGCTCAGTGGAGAGAGCATCAGCCTGTGGATGGAAGGGTCCCAAGTTCAGTTCTAGACAAGGACACATGCCTGGGCTGTGGGCTTAATCCTCAGTAGGGGGCATGCGGGAAGCAGATAATCAATGATTCTCTCATTATTGTTTCTCTCTTCCTCTCTGAAATCAATAAAAATCTACACTAATAAGAGAAAAAGATGGAAATTGACTGTATCTCCATGATGCCCACCAGCCAATCAGGAGTGAGTATGCAAATCGACCCAACCAAAAAAAAAATGGCAGGTTAATTTGCATATGCATGCATCAAGCAGCCTGTGTTCAGGGGATGGGCGCAAAGCCCTCAGCCTCCAGGGACCATTGCCGCCCTGGGAGGTGAGGGTGGCCGCATCAAGCCATGCCCGCAGGCTCCCAGGATTATAGTTGGCCCTGAGAAGCAAGGGTGGCCGCACAGCTTGACAGCAGACAGCAAAGTCTGCTTGGCTGTAGTCACAGTGAATTGTGAACAGGGCCTGCAGGCAGCACTCAGCAGGGCCTGTTTGCCCATCTCTGGCATGGAACAGCAGGCCCTGCAAACAGCAGAGAACCATGGGGAGTGGGCCTAAGCTGTCAGTAGACATTCCCTGAGGGTTCCTGGATAGGAGAGGGTGCTAGGCTAGGCTGAGGGACGCCCCCCCCCCCATGCATGAATTTTGTGTACTGGGCCTCTAGTATATATATTTTTTAAAAGACCAGGCTGTAGAGATTACTTGGATCCAGGCCATCCCATGAAATACCAGTGGGTTAGTTCTTTTTTTCTGTTTTTTAAAAATATATTTTGGCTGAAACCGATTTGGCTCAGTGGAGAGACCATGGGTCTGCGGATTGAAAGATCCCAGGTTCGATTCCGGTCAAAGGCATGTACATTGGTTGCGGGCACATCCCCAGTAGGGGGTGTGCAAGAGGCAGCTAATCGATGATTCTCTCTCATCAGTTTCCAGCTCTCTCTCCTCTCCCTTCCTCTCTGTAAAAAATCAATAATATATATATATATATATATATATATATATATATATATATATATATATATATATATAGAGAGAGAGAGAGAGAGAGAGAGAGAGAGTTGGTTTTTTAGAGAGGGAGAGGGAATTAGAAACATTGATGAACATCGATAAGCTGCCTCCTGCATGCCCTCTACTGGGTGTGCCCACAACCAGAGTACATGCTCTTGACCAGAATCAAACCTGGGACCCTTCATTACGCAGGCTGACGCTCTATCCCTTGAGCTAAACTGGTTAGGGTAGTTGGCCAGTTCTTAACCTGGGTGGGTGACATCCACCCCGGAGTATTTGACCTGCAGCGGGTATTTCAGCCTCTTGTCCACTTCCTGCAGGCTCACCTGTAGCACGGGACAAGCAGAGGGACATGGGTGAACCAGGGGCAGGTCAACAGCACTGATAAAGTGGTTCATCTGTGTGATAAATTTATGATATCCATTTCATTTAGCTTTTCACCTGGAGAATTCTCTAGTTCTTTCATTTGGGGTTTGGTTTCTTATCTCCCCATTTGGGCTGCCTGTTTGGGTTTATGACTATGTATTTATTAGGTAGGCAAAGATGAGGCAATGGTTCAAAGCCTCTAGATTGCCTCTGCACACTGATTGTATTCAGTTTTGAGTAGCTGAATGCAATTGTCTACAGGTTGAAGCTGAGGTTTTCCAATGGGGTGGGGCAACTGCCTTACCCCCAGGCAAAAACCACCTGGATAGCAAAGGTCTGCCTGCAAAAGTTGTCCTCTGCAGCGTGAGGGAACCACTCAGCATAGAAACCGTGGTGTCTGCCCTCCACGTTCAACCCTAGAGCCCCCATCTCTGGCTTCTGCTCGTACAGCTCAAATCCACTCTGCCCTCCCTTTGCTGGAGCCCAGGGTAAGTGCCTGCACACGAAATTTTGTGTTAGCTCTTTAAGAGGGTGCCTGAATCCCCCCCTCCAGCTGTGTAATATCTTTATTATTATTTTCCTTTTTTAAAATATTTCAAAAAAAAAACGACCTTAAATATAATAACATTACATGCAATAAACCTTAATATCTCAAGAAAAACTTTTAAATATAATACTACATACAATAAACACCAATTATTCAAGAAAAAGATCTTGATATATTACATGCCATAAACAATATTTCAAGAGGAAAAAGGATATTAAGTATAAATATATTATCAAAACTGTACTAATATAGTATGATAGTACAAAAGTTGTAGAAAATATTTAAAATCTGCAAATAGCAGGATTGCTTCTAGTCTAAGATATTTTTTCCTCTGGCTCTATTTTTGTTCATCAGTTTATGTTGTTCATTATATACACACGAGTGAGATCATTTGATATATTTTTCTGACTGGCTTATTTTGCTTAGCATAATGCTCTCCAGTTTCATTCATGCTGTTGCAAATGGTAAGAATTCCTTCGTTTTTACAGCAGCGTAGTATTCCATTGTGTAGATGCACCAGTTTTTTTAATCCACTCATCTGCTGATGGGCACTTAGGCTGTTTCCAATCTTAGTTATTGTAAATTGTGCCACTATGAACATAGGGGTGCATATATCCTTTCTGATTGGTGTCTCTGATTTCTTGGGATATATTCCTAGAAGTGGGATTACTGGGTCAAATGGGAGCTCCATTTTTAGTTTTTTGAGCAAGCTTCATACTGTTCTCCACAGAGGCTGCACTTTCAGTCTGAAGGCTGACACCCTATCCACTGAGCCAAACTGGTCAGGGCAAATTTCTTTCTTTTCTTTTTTTTAAGTATGTTTTATTTATTTTTTTACAGAGAGGAAGAGAGAAGGATAGTTAGAAACATCAATGAGAGAGAAATCATCGATCAGCTGCCTCTTGCACACCCCCTACTGAGAATGTGCCCGCAACCAAGGTACATGCACTCGACCGGAATCAGACCTGGACCTTTCAGTTTGCAGGCCGACGCTCTATCCACTGAGCCAAACTGGTCAGGGCAAACTTCTTAATCAGTAAGACTATCAGAAGAATTTTGAAGGACAAAATTCTTTAAATGTTTTACTTCAAGACTTAAATAAACTGAATGTGAACAACTTATTTTAAAAAATGGTTTTGACATTCCACAAAGCTGACATGTTTTGTAGCCAGAGGTGAATTCCAAGGCAGTAACAGCTGACTCGCCAAGTGGATCCTATGCCGGCCCTTCCCTCACTCCCACCTTCTCCCCAAGAGGCCAGATTGAAACTGCTTCACATTCCTCTGGAACGTGTCCTAATCTCTACTTTCATCGACTAACCAGACTTTATTTCCGTCGGGGGATTCTGATTGGTGAGTGACTTTGCCTGGTGGTTGTTTTTCCCGCTGGGCTGGCGCCCTGTGCTGCAGCCCCGCCATCCGTGCCCGCCCTGTGTGCGGGGCTGTGTGTGCGGGGCCATGTGTGCTCACCATGTGTGCGGGGTCGTTGGGGGGTGAGGGGGGGCGTGTGTGCGAGGCCGTGTGTGTGTGTGTGTGTGTGTGTATGTGTGTGTGGGACTGTGTGTGCCCGCCGTGTGTGCGGGGCCATGAGAGCGGAGCCGTGTGTGGGAGGCCGTGAGTGCGGGACTGTGTGTGCGGGGTCATGTGTGCTGGACCGTGTGCCCCCGCCGTGTGTGCGAAGCCGTGTGTGCCCGTCGTGTGTGCAGGACCGTGCGTGCTGAGCCGTGTGTGTGGGACCGTGTGTGCCCGCCGTGTGAGCAGGGCCGTGCCAGCCGTGTGTGCCCTCCGTGTGTGCAGGGCCATGTGTGCCCTCCGTGTGTGCCAGCCGTGTGTGCCCTCCGTGTGTGCAGGGCCATGTGTGCCCTCCGTGTGTGCCAGCCGTGTGTGCCCTCCGTGTGTGCCCTCCGTGTGTGCGGGGCCGTGTGTGCCCTCCGTGTGTGCCCTCCGTGTGTGCGGGGCCGTGTGGGGAGCTGCGGGGGGATGGGAGTCGCAGCCCGGGCTGCGGGGGGGGCGTTAGGCATTTCCTCTTGGTCTGGAGGAGTGGAAGAACCTCACCTCCCACCACAGAAGCTTTCGGTCCGAGGTTTATTTCTAGCATCATCCGGGGACTCACACCTCCCGGCTCCCGGCTCCGGGCTCGGACGCCCCGGCCCCCCTCCCCGCGGGGCCCGAGGCGCTGCCCCGGCCCCGGGTCTCCTCCGGGCGGCGCCGGGACTGCTGCTCCGCACCGAACGCCCCGCAGCTCCTCCCCACGGGCTCCCCCAGCCGGGCTCCCCGAGGGCATCCCAGGGCCTCAGCGCGGAGGAGGGAGGGTGTGGGCTGACATTAAAAACACATCGCGACGTGACGATGTGAGGACAGAGGGGGCGGGGCGGGGCGGGAAGACACCAGGCCTCCTGGGCACGGGCTTCGCTTCGGGGCCAGAGTCTGCAGCACCCAAGGAAAGCGGTGGCCAGACCAGAGGGCTCACACCAGGAAGGACGAAGTCTGTCTGAACTCCCCCTGTGGAGACAACCGTCAATCTTTCCAGTCTCCCCTCCCCTTCCCTCCTTCTCCTCCCCACCCTCTCCCCCTCCCCCTTCCCCTCCCTTCTCCTCCCCCTCCATCCCCTCCCTCTTTCTCCTCCATCCTTCCCCCCACTCCCCCCTTCCCCTCCCTTCTCCCCCTCCGCCTCCTTCTCCCCCCTCCCACTTCCTCTCCCTTCTCCCCCTCCTCCTCCTTCTGCTCCTCCCCTCCCCCTCCCCCTCATTCCCCTCTCCCCTCCCCCTTCCTCCTTCCCCTTCCCCTCCCTTTTCCTCTTCCCCCTCCTTCCTTCTCCCTCCCCCTCCCATCCTCCCCCACTTCCTCCTTCCCCCACCCCCTCCTCCTACCCCCCTTCTCCTCCTCTTCCTCCTTTTGGGCAATATTTTTCCATTGATTTTTAAAGAGTCAAAAGGAGGAGGAGAACAGAGAGAGAGAGAGAGAGAGAGAGAGAGAGAGAGAGAGAGAGAGAGAGAGAGAAACATCCATTGGTTGCCTCCTGCACAAGCCCCACCCAGGCCAGGGATCCTGCAACCAAAGTACAGGACCTTCACACAATGAACACACACACCAGGCCCCAGAGCCCCTCCCCCGCAACACTTGCCTCGCTCCGAGCGGTGGGCTGGCTGTAAATGACCTTCTTGCTCTCGGTCCTGCAGAAGACGGGCAGTCAGACCCGAGCCCCTCTCCTTGCCAACTTTTCAGGTCAGAACTGAGAACCTGACAGAATCACGAGGCCTCGGAGGGGATGGGGGGGGGGGGGGGGCGCGGAGGGGAAGGACAGCGCAGGCTACAGTGAGCCGGGAAGCTGTCTCCCTGCCGGGCGAGGCCTCCCCCTCGGCCCCCACCCTTGGGCCCCTCTCGCATCTTGTTCCCCAGCTCGGAGAGCCCGACACAGCGCCTCACTCACCCTTTCTTCTTTCCTGGAAGAGAAGAAACACGGTGAGTGTCAGCAGAACAGAGTCAGCTCAGCCAGGGAGAGGGGAGCCATGGTGCAGCCCACAGCTCCAGAGCAGAGCCCACCTGGGGATGGGAGGAGGAAGGGCCTCTGAGGCCAAGGACTTACTGTCAAAGTAGCCCCGGCTGTAGGCGAACCAGATGCCAAAAACCAGGAGTCCCAGGAGGAGGAGTGTGACTAGGACGGCTGCCACGATGCCCCCGACGTTCAGCTCCACTAGAGACACAAGGATGCTCGCTCACGGTGCCAACCACGCGGTCCGCCAGCAGGAAAGGACCATGTCTGACCCTGCCCCCTGCCCCTGCCCGCACGCACCAGCCTCCATGCGCACCGCGGCGGACATCACGGGGCTCCCGAACCCGTTCTGGGCCTGGCAGGAGTACTCTCCGGTGTCAGAGGCCGAGACGGGATCGAAGACCTGGAGCAGAAAACCACCCTGTCCTGCTGAGAAGCCAAGCGCCTGCCTTTTATGTCTCTGGATCCTAAAGCCCAGCAAACCCTGCTGTTCGGTCCTCCCCCACCTTCAGGGGTTCCGTACCTGTGCCCCCCCGTTTTTAGCCCACCCACCGTACCAGCTCCCCTGTCGTGGGGTTCAGGCTGTAGGAAGAGTTGCTGAAGGCACGGTTTCTCTTGGGTTCCAGAGGCATCAGGGCCCCGTCCCTGTACCACAGGTACTCAGAGGGCGGGGAGCCGTCCGGCTCCGAACAGGTCAGCACTGCCCGGCTCCCGATGGTGGCGGAGGAGGGGATGTTGACCGTGGGTTTGGATGGCGGCACTGGAAAGAGAAGTTGCTGACCACAGGGCAGGGAGGGCTCCTGGAGGCCAAGTGGCTGGTGAAGGCGGTACCCCAGCCACCATGCTGGCCTCCCTCCCTCACTGTGACCGAGTCCCCGCCCAGAGCCTGCACCATCAGCGAGCTCCCGGCTCGGCAGAGCCCAGCCGGCATTGGGGGAAGCAGCAATGCCCAGGGGGCACAGGAGGCCTGGCACTTACCAAGGACAATGAGCTGGACGCTGACCTCCCCGTAGGCGGTGCCACCTTCATCAGAGACCATGCACGTGTACATCCCCGTGTCCTTCCGGGTCACGGAGTGGAAGGTGATGCCAGTGTTGGAGAAGGTGACTCTGTCCTCAAAGGGAACTGCGGGGAGAGGAACCAGAGCAGGGGGAGCTGGAGAGCTGGGGAAGCTGTGCCCGTGACGCTGAGGCAGGTAAGCAGGAGGTGAGAAGGCCCTGGGAACCTGGCACCCAGGGGGAGGACTCACCTGTGATCTTGTTGTTATAGCAAACGAGGCTGGTGATGTCGCCCTGGGCAAACTTCCACTCCACTCGGGGAGAGGAGAAGCCCGAGTAGGAGCAGGACAACTTGGCGGCTACAGACGAGATCAACGTGAGTGGGAGGAAGCAGCAGCAAATAGAGAAGACAGGACCCTGGCCGGCTCCACCCTCCCAGCTCCTCCCAACTCACGTTTATCCTCGGGAACTTTGACCTCGGAGTTGGAAGTGTACACGGCTCCCCTGCCTGGCGCCAGCAAGCCTAGGAGGAGAGGCTCCCATCAGGAGGGCAGCACCTGGCAGTGGCCCTGAGCCCCCAAGGTGCAAGGACTCAGAGTCAAGCTCTTGCCCATCTCACACCAATATCCTATCTAATAAAAGAGTAATATGCGCCGAGACCAGTTTGGCTCAATGGATAGAACGTCGGCTTGGGGACTGAGGGGACCCGGGTTCGATTCCAGTCAAGGGCATGTACCTTGGTTGCGGGCATATCCCCAGTAGGGGGTATGTAAGAGGCAACTGATCGATGACTCTCTCTCATCGATGTTTCTGGCTCTCTATCTCTCTCCCTTCCTCTCTGCACAAAATCAATAAAATATATTAAATAAATAAATAAATAAAAGTGGGGGGGGGGGGGTCCAGGCCTGCAGGGGAGGGCAGTTAGGAGCCAGCAGTCCTGGCTTGTGAGAGGGATGTCCAACTGCTCGTTTAAGCCTGCTTGGCCTAAACAGATGGTTGGACATCCCTCAAGGAGTCCCAGATTGGAGAGGATGCAGGCTGGGCTGAGGGGACCCCCCTCTTCCCCATGCACGAATTTCATGCACCGGGCCTCTAGTCTTAAGTAATCTTCAAATGCTTTTGCTACAATTGCAGGCCAATACTTCTGTTATTAGTGGAAATAAAATATTTTTTTCAAATGTAATTTATTTCATTTTTTATTATCCCCCCCACCCCGACTCCCAGTAATCTAATTAGATTCCCACTAATCGAGAGCAGCTCCCCAAAAAAGCATTTCAAGGTTCACAACTTCTCCACCATCCATCGGCAGAGACCAGCGGCCTCAGAGGAGCACTCACGGGGGATCGGGTGCATCTCAGCGTGTTTCTCACACATGATGTCGCTTGACCCTTGAAACAAGCAGGACAGACGAGCAGGACCAGTATTATCACCCAATTTTACACACGGAACAGAGGCAAAAACCTAAGGTCACCTTGCTGGTTCTGAGATGGAGCCAGGACCAGAACTGGGCTCAGAGAATTTCACCAGCATCTCCTCCTGCCCAAGGACAAGGAAAGATGGTGTGTGGTGGGTGGACAGACAGGCAGCAGGCTGCCCGGAGCGGCCAAGGCTACCACTAGACGCAATAAGGGCCCGGACTGCGAACAGGAGTGAGAACAAGAAACTCCTTGTTCTCATTCCTGTTCCCAACACTCAAACTCATGGAGCTTCACGTGCAGCCTTGAGTTGAATCCTGCCCTCTGAGGTAAATGCAAACACCCTGACACATACGGCATTTTCCTTTACACACAACAGAGCAGGGCCTTGACCCTGAGCTCCCTCTGCCCATCTGAAGGATGAGCTAGAGGCTCTTTACACTCTCCGGCCCCTTCCCTCCCCTCCATCTCTCAACCCTCTTCTCTTCTCCTGCTCGCTGTCTATCTATCTCTATTCTCCTCTCTGTCATGAGTGTTTATGTGCATTTATTTTAATTTTACAAACACTGTGAATTAATCCAGGTAAGTCTTCCCTCCCCATTTTACAGATGAGAAAATGAACTCATTCCAGGTTAGGGGGCTGGCCCTGCCCAGCTTCCCATGTGGAAATGGCAGAACTGAGATGAGCACACAGGTCACCCCTGTCCCCTGCGCGGGAGGGAAGACTGACCCCGGTTAATTCACAGTGTTTGTAAAATTAAAATAAATGCACATAAGCACTAATGACAGAGAGAAGGAGAAAGAGATAGAGGATAGATGGATAGATAGATAGATAGCCCTCTGAGAACAGCCAGAACGTGGCCCTGCCCAAGGACAAGGGACACAGCAGGGCAGCCGGCACCACACCTGGTCCGAGAGGACGACAGGTGCCCAAAGCCCCCTCCCCACCTACAAGCGGTGGGCGCCGCAGGGCTTCTGTGGTCTGCGTCCTTCCCCTCCTTCCCACACTCCCTAACACTGTCTGGTGCAATAGCTGACACCTCAGTTAGGTTCCTAAGAACCCTACCTATGGCACCACCCACATGAAGAACATAATTAAACTAAAAAACCAACCTTTGAAATAACGTTAGCTAAAGTTCCTTTTTGAGTCCTTTCAGATAATCAGATCCAAAACACATCGGTAATTATACATTTGCTACAGCCACCTTCATTCTCCCCAGGAATCCTGACTCCTGGGTGGCCCAGGCTACTATTTCCTTGTTTTAAAGACAAGACCCTGCACCTCAACCTCCCCCCTCCCACACACACACGCACACACACACCTTCCTCTGAGCAGCAGTGCTGTCTGCCTAACTGTCAATCCTCCGCACCCTCGGTGGCTGGGGATCCTGCCAGGACTCCAGCCCCTCCAGGCCGCCAGGACTTCACAGCCATCCTGGTCCGAATCCTTCCCAGGCCTGAGCCAGCCGCTGGGACCAGATGCATTCAAACCCCATCTCTGTCACTTGGTCACCTTCAACTTCAGTTTGCCCATTTGTAAAATGGGGATAAACAGCCCTGACAAGTTTGGCTCAGTGGATAGAACGTCGGTCTGCGAGAGCTCTGGGCAGACTTTCGGAACCAGGGCCTGGGCACATCCTGAGCACTCGGTTCTGGCCCTGCACGGGCACAGGGCGCACGGGCACAGGGCACAGGGCATTGGCTGCACCTGCACGGGGGAGGCAGGGGTGCCCCGCGGGGGAGCCCATGCCCCTGGTGAGAGTCAGCTGGGCAGGGAGGGCCCTTATGTCAGAACCACTCGGAACTGGTTGAACACCTCCTGGATTTGCCGGAGGTTGATGATCTGGAGAGGAGAGAGGGCGGGTTAGGCCTTGGCCCCGGCCTAACAGCTGTGTCTGATGCCAGAGAAGGAACGGCCCTTCAGCTGGCGGCCTCTGTCATCGTTCCTGGTCATTGTTCCAAACCGAGCGTTTTCTGAGCGTGAACTCCCTTTCCGAGTGACATCTCCGTGACACCAACATGGCTCTAGTTTTGAAAATACCCAGAACAGCCTGTCTAACAAAGAGGTGATATGCAAATTAGGCCGGGACTCCTAACGGCCAGACAGGAGGCTGTGCGCACAGGTGAGGCTCGGGCAGCCGGAGTGGACACAGGCAGGGCCCAGAGGGGACAGAGGCGGGGGGCTGGGGACACTGAGAGTCAGGCGTGGGTCCTGGCCCCCCGAGGGGCTCCTCCTCATGCGATGGGCCTCAGTCGGTAAATAAAACGTGTTGTGCCGGAAAAAAAGAAAAAAAAAGAAAAAGAAAAAAAAAAAGAGCGTTGGCCTGCGGACTGAAAGGTCCCAGGTTCAATTTTGGTCAAGGGCATGTACCTTGATTGCAGGCAAATCCCCAATAGGGGGTGTGTAGGAGGCAGCTGATTGATGTTTCTCTCTCAATGATGTTTCCAACTCTCTCTCCCTCTCCCTTCCTCTCTATTTTTTTTTTAAATATTTTTTTATTGATTTTTCACAGGGAGGAAGAGAGAGGGATAGAGAATTAGAAACATCGATGAGAGAGAATCATCGATCAGCTGCCTCTTGCACGCCCCGCACTGGGGATGTGCCCGCAACCAAGGTACATGCCCTTGCCCAGAATCGAACCCAGGACCTTTCAGTCCGCAGGCCAACGCTCTATCACTGAACCAAACCGGTCCCGGCACTTCCTCTCTATAAAATAATCAATAAGGGAGGATCCAAGATGGCTGCTCGGGTAGACATCTAACCGCAGCAGCACACAACAATTTCAATGGAATACAACTAAAATGTAGAGTGGACATCGCCCAGAGCTACAGGTAGTTGACTGACTGAAAATTCTACAACAAGAAGGAAAGAGAAAACCAGAAGGAAAATCAGAGGAACTGAAAAAAAAAGCCTAAGGTACGGAGACATGGTGTGTGCCCGCACGCATGTGCGTGCGGAGAGGTCGCAGCTGGAGAGGAGGAGAGGGCTGGGTGCTGCCTGGCGTTCCCTAGCAGGAAGGAAATAAAACCACCAGCCTGGGCTGAACCCCCGAACCAGCAGCGCTGAGCCCCAGTTATGGACCAGACCCTGGGGACCCAGGCTCCAGCAGGGGGAGACGGGGCTGTGAGGCGGAATCCCAGGGGAGCGGCGAAAAGCGGAGCCCCCGGAGTCGCGCACAATGTATGCAGAGGACAGAATGTTGACTCTGATGCTATATTGCCCTGGCGGGAAGAAACAAAATCTCCAGCGGTGCTGAGCCCCACTCCCGACTGCCCTGAACTCCAGTTCTAGGCCAATCCCTGGGGACCCAGGCTCAAGCAGAGGGAGACGGGGCTGTGAGGTGGAGTCCTGGGGGAGCTGCAAAAAGCGGAGCCCCCAGAGTTGCACACACTGCACGCAGAGGACAGTCTGTTGACCCTGATGCTAGACTCCCCCAGCAGGAAGGAGAAAAAAAGCTCCAGACTGGAGGAACACGACGAGGAGAGGAGCCCCTGCAGGACACCGGCCAGCCGGGCACCAGCAAGGAGCTGGGCGACGGGGCCCCCAGGGGTGGGGGATGCCCCTGAGCCTTCGACCGCTGAGCGCGGGCAACGGAGCCAAGGCCGGGGTCTGCTTCCTGGGCGGCGCCAACCCCAGCAACAGGCTGAAGCAGCACAGGAGCCCGCGGAGAACAAAGGGGTGCCACAGGCCAACCTGCTGAGCTCCCAGGACAAGGAGGAAGAAACCAAAGAAGTTCTCAATGTGAAGAAATCAAGTGAGAGCAAAAGATAGTAAAATTACTTAAGAAAGAATACAAAGAAAATCTTGAAAAATCAAAGACTAAGTCAGAACTCAACTCACCAGCCAACATTGCAACATAAATGCGTTTTAAAAAAAAAAAAAGGACAGAATGTTGGAACAGCGGCGGCCAGGCCTAGAGTGGCCAGGCACAAGGCAGTGGCAGCCGGGCCCGGAGCAGCAACGGCCAGGCCCCAGAGCAGCAGTAGCCAGAACCAGAGCATCAACAGCCAGCACTGGAGCAGCCAGACCTGGGGCAGTGGCAGCCAGGCCTGAGGCGGAGGCGGCCAAGCCCAGGGTGGCCAGTCCAGGAACACCCAGACCCAGAGT